AAGACGGATGCTGCATGCAAAATATAATAAAATTGAACTAATAATAGTAATAAATTAATTTTTGTCTGTTTCATCTATAAGAAAGTTATGTCAAAGATTAACATACCTTTGCAGATGGTAAAAATTGTGCTAAGAAAACCAAATCGTCATCGAGCACAATTAAAATGTCAGATGAGTGGATTGCTATTGGCTGTAACAGTGCAGTGGATGCCACATTGTCAACATTATTTATATTCGCATTCTTGTTTAACATTACAACGGAACCCTGAGTGCCACAAAATGGCAAATATCGTCACGTTTCTGGTTTTAAGGATAATTACGTCTGCATGGCTTGGAGCACCCAATGCAGTTGAACTTGCAGTTGCAGTTGCAGTTGAAATCCGAATGCGGAGAAGCCGCCCAATCCCGTCACATTCAATTTAGGAATTTTTCACAGCCATTTCGAGAAGTGCAGCTGAAAAAGTCACGACTGACTGATGCCCAAAAGGCAAAGCATCAAATAAAGATAATAATGAAAAGTCCGTATGTAGTCTGTGTTCTCAGAACAGGAAACGGAAACAGCGCTGGCTTTTCAACACCAGACCGAGTGCTAATTTATGTGGGAGTTGCAGGTCCAAAGACGAATGCTTTTTGCAGATGCACAAACACACACAAACACACACACACACACCGCAACAGAACAATTTTAATCGGAATTTAATTGCATTAGCCCAACAAGGCTGACAGCTGAGACGCAATTGTGATGAGATTGACACTCCGCACGGAGCCAACTCCAATTCCAATTCCAATTTCCAATTTCAAATCCATTTCCATTGCGTTAAATTTCTTGACGCGTGAGGGTTACGTAATAGGCCGACGATGGTGCTGCAGCAGCACCAGCGTACACTCGAATGCCAACGTGTGCAATGGACAACAACGGCTAAGGAGAGAAACGATAGATAACAAAAACTTGTCGTGTCGTATCCATTTATGTTCGCAGTGAATCAGTTAGCAGTAAAAGGCATTAAACAATTAGATGCATGTCAAAACGATTGCTGTTGTCGTTTTGAGTATTCCATTATTATGTGCACAGAATGCAACTTTAACGACAAAATATTATTATTTGACCTTAACCTTGTGATGGATGCACCCAACTTGGCCTGAAGCACCCCAACCAATTAATCGTCTGTATGCCATATCGTTGTTGCTAGAATTTTTGCTTTGATGGATGGTTGTCGCAATGGCACTCAAGGGTCAAATGTTAAATATTTTTCAAAGTGTTATTTATCAAAAAATCTTGCTTTTGAAGAGTGAGTATTTTATCACCATCGACTAAAAATAAAACAAATTGCCAACAAAATGTTCTTTTAAATCGACGCTAGACATTTTCAATGCTCAATGCAAATCTAGTCAGAAACAGAACCTAAACATAAGTTTTCAACGAGGGAGCGGCTATGTACACGTTTGACAAGTGTCTACAAAAGTGGACACCCTACAGGTATGCGGCCAGTGAAATATGCTTGCAATTTGTGCAGGTACGATAAGAAAAGTCAAATCGCTTGCAATCTCAGATATTTCTATGTGTCCATGTGTGGTTGTTTGCTGCTGTAGTCAGCTGCACACCCACAACAATCCAACGGGGCAAAGCAATTGGAGTTGGAGTTGGGGTTGGCATCAACGATCGGACAACGAAGTTGAGATGCCCTCGAGCCGAGCATCACCTGTGCATCTTTAAGGCAAAGGCTGATTTTGATTTCCAACGCGTCTCTGATTCCAATGGTTCTCCGTTGCCAACGTTCTCTGCATTCACATTCGCATTCCCATTCACGATCATATCCGAGAAGAAGTCAGCCTGTGTCTAAATTGCATGTAGGAATTTATTTCAAAGCCTTGGGATGCACCTTCCACTAATTTGTTGCTTGTCTTCACTGTCAGCCAGGCAAAGGCAAAAAGGCAGCAGGAGGCCGCAGAAGTTTCGCATCCCCGGCGGAAAAACAAAAGAAGGCATTTTTTTCAATGTCGAAATCGAGATTCGACAAACGACATACGACAAACGACATACGACATTTTCACGAGCGCAATTATGTAAATCAACTGCAGCGAAGGGTTTAAGCGGAAGCTCAAACTTATATAAGTACTTAGATGATTGTTACAAACACCTGTTATCTTATCAAACTTACACAAGTACTTAGATGTCTTAGATGATAGTTACAACAACCTGTTATCTTATCGTTAAGTAAATATTCTCATTTCTTTATCGCTGAAATAGATATTTCTTAAGTGATATCCACCCACAATTACTATAATTTCCCATATATAAATCATTACGGGTGTTACATACATTTGCCAAGGAGGGAGACACTAACAACTAATTAACACTTCCAGCTACTCTTCCACGCCTACTTTGAGGAGCGGAGCGGCTAACCGTTTGCCAGCTGAATTAATGAAGGAATTGAAGTTCGCGTGACGACATGAAGTGAGTCGACTCCAAAGTCGACGTCATCGCCACATCGAACGACACACTGCGAACGGAGGCATACAGAGGCACAGAGTCACAGCTTCAAGCGTCTTTTGGGGTACGTTGGAAGCGCAGGAACAAATGTCGTGCGAGGCAAATACATACCTCAAGAAATCACAGCCAACAGGTTTGCAGCAAAGAAAAAAAAAAAAAAACTAAAAAATGAACAACAAAAACAAAAAGCAAGAGAAAAAATTGGCATAAATGTTTATGATACAGTAAACGGATGACGACGCCGACGACGACGCCGACGACGACGACGACGACGACGACAAACTACAATGATGATGAAGACCCTGAACGGGAGTGACTGTCAGCCAAGTGGAACGTTTTAAATGAACATGTACGCGGTGTTATCTGAAGTACTCACTCCAGTACACCAGGGTCTTTGGCAAAAAGAAAGAGAAGAAGAAAGTGAATTGTTTAGCAGCTGATCAAATGCAAGCGAAACGGATGTGAAACGAAACTCTTGCAATCTTCCCATGCAAAATGCAAATGTATTTATTAATACATTTCTTTTTAGACAAACTGAATTAAATATGGAAAATAATACGCTAAGCAACATAAAAACATCGGCGATGAGGACGAAAAAACAAACAAACAAACAAGCAAACAATGAGAAGACACTGCTGACAGCTGTAAAGTGTCGTCAAGTGTCAATGCCTGACATTGATGTATTCCGATCGACAAAGCACAATTACAATAAACAATGCTGCCAATGGGACCTAGTTTATCCACCAAATCAGATTTTCACCAAGAGATTGTCTCGGCAACAATGGCAATTCCTGATCTCTCAGCAAAATGCGACCTCATTTCACTATTACTACTTTCTTGCCTTATTATTATTGAAATTAAGCAAAGCTGAGCTCCCAGAAATCAGCAAACTTTTGTTTATATATACATATCAAACCTTACAGAGGTGATAATAATTTGCTTGTTAAAAAATCCACAAATAACAGGTTCGTGTGTCCATATTTAATAGATATTACAGGCATTTGCTCAAGAAAAGAGTTTTTTTCCCATGCCAAATATAGTTAATGTTCAACAAACTGCAATCCATGACAGCAACAAATGTATGCACTACCTCCAAAAGCTTTAGGAACATTGGTCAAGGATATAAACGTAGTGCAGACAAATATGTATATGCAAATAAATAAATCATAAAAAATACAGTCCATAACAAGCTATACAAGAAGAAATAAGCATATTCTCTTCTTAGCCGGTGGTGTTAACGGCGCCAAGAGAGTGGGAGTAGTATTATATAGCAGCATATTTCATGTTAGCCTCACTAGGGCAGGTATAATAAATACTTTTTAGCGCCAACAAACTGGCTGAGCAATAGACATGTTAACGCGTTCTGTTCCGTTCAAATGCCAGCCAATTGGCCAAGTCATTTTCTACCTACTTATGCACATCTGTGCCAACAACTGATAACTTATAACTGCCAATGCCTTCTTACGTCTGCAAGCCCCGATTGCGTGTTGACCGTTTTTCACATGCATCCGATTCGGCAATAAAATTAACTTGTCGATGGCGTCGCGCAATTTATTTATGGCAGCTCAGGCACACGTCTCTTATATAAATTAGTTATTATGGATGTATTTGTAAGCACATTTCTTAGATTTTTTCTCAGAAAAAAACGAAAACTTCTCACAACGTGAACTTGTATTATTTTGCCCGAACCTTTTGCATTCAATGTTTTTTAAATGTGTTTCAATTTAAACGATTATATAATACAATATAAATATACGTAAGCAGCAATATACTTTTACTAATAATTAATTAATTAGTTGTCTCACTTTGGCACACAAGAAAGTAATTCAATTTATATGATACTAATATTTAACTTTTAGTATACAATTAGTAAGTAAACAATTTTGAACGTACACTTGCGATCTGCAAATAGTTTGCTTTTTATTTATTTTGCTCCCGGCAACTCGCGCCTGTTTTTCACGTCTTCACTCGTCGCGCTGCGCTTGTGAACTGATCTAGAGGATGAACAAACAAAACCATGGAACCGGTGCGGCAACAAAACTTACACACGCTGCCAAACTGAGCTGAGCATCGCTGAGCTTAACTGGGCTGGAGCAGCTGCGTCGCTGACGATAGCAGCAATAATGCGACACAGAAGTAGGCTGCCTCCAGCGAAGGGGTAAAACGATTAACTCGTTGTTATTGGGGGTGAGGAGCTTCAAAATTGCATGGTCAGCTTGTGTGGAACTCCCTCGTCATAAATCAGCTGGCAGTAACACAATTCCAATATATCTTCAATAAAAAATGCCATTAATCCCATAAAAGATTATATAATGCCTTTCTGCGACATCGGATTTATAATTTTAATAAAAATATTTATAATAATCCAAATAAAAAATTGGGGTATTATATTTAAGACGGCATTTAAAGTACACAATAATTTATTTTCAAAAATGTACGGAGTATAACAAGTAATTTTGGAATTCTAATTACCATAATTGGATATGCTCTCATTTCAGCGAACGATCAGTTTACAACAGAAGCATTTTATTAGAATCGATTACAAGACGATATTCTCAATTAGCATTAATAATCTTTTAACTTAGGATTAAACTCCGTTGCGCTCTTCGGGACGCGTCTCGCTGTAGAAGCCCAGATTCATGGTAGGTATCATGTTGCTATAGAAGGACATTTCGGCTGCGGAAGGCCGTACATTGGGCAGCTGGACGGGCTCTGGAACGATGGCTGGCATTGGGGCACCCGTGTGCTCGCCCATGGGATTAGCTAGCGGTACTACAGCGGCGGCAGCTATTAAAGCCTCCTGGTTGCTTTTGGCCACACTGTGCTGCAGCTCGTGCACTTTGAGATGCGTCTCCAGCTCCGCCTGTTGCAGGAAAGTGATGCAGCAAATGGCACATGTATAGCTGGGGCCATGAGCCTCCAGCTCGTGACGCTGCAGTTGCTCACGCCGATTAAAGCCCTGGCCGCACAACTTGCAGGCGAATAGTGTGTCCATGTGCAGGGCCCGATGGCGCTGCAGATCCCGCTCCCGTTGGAAGCCCCGATCGCATACATCGCAGCGGAAATTGCGCGTTACCTTCGGAGATGGTTTCACCTTAGGCTGCATCACGGGAGGCGTTTGCTGCTGAAACGGATATGCTGGTATAGCCGGTAAGGCCTGTTGGGCCGATGCATCTGGCTCCACGTACGGATGGAGTGGCAGCTGCACTTGCATCTGCTCTGCCGGCATAATCATATTTATGCGCAGGTTTTGACTTTGCTTTTGCTCGATGTCGCGCTTCAGATGCACCTGCTGATGCATCAATAGCTTGTCCTTGCGGGTGAACGAGGCGGGGCAGCGACCGCACCGGAATGGTTTCACTTCGGCATGGGAGCGCGTGTGCTTCAGCAGCTCCAGCGGTGTCTGGAATGAGCGTGGACACTGCTGGCAAACGAACGGCTTCACGCTGCTGTGGATGCGCAGGTGCTTGGTCAGGTTGGTGTTGCGCGAGAAGCTCTTAGAGCAGACGTGGCACGAGAACGGACGCACGCCCGTATGCACAATTGTGTGCTTCTTCAAGTCCGAACGTCGCACGAATCCCTTGCTGCACAGTGCGCACACATAGGGACGCTCGGCATCATGCAGCTCCTTGATGTGCGCAATTAATGCCGGACGTGTCGTCAATCTCACCTGACAGTAGTTGCAAATGTACGGCGCCGAGGCGTCGTGAGAGCCCACTTCATGCTGCTGGCAGTCCGACTGTAGGGTGAAGGCCAGATCGCAGTACTGGCAGAGGAAGGCGCTCTTTGGATGCGCATTGAATTGGACACTGGAGTCGACCGTTTGATGCACCCGCATCATCGCCATTTGGGCGGCATCCATGCCGAGAGGCATCTCTGTTTCTTCATTTTGTGCAGTTCCTCCTTCCTCATCCTCGTCGTCCCAATCCTCGTCATCGAGTTCAGCTTCACCTTCGGAGCCTGGGAATTCGTCATCACTCGTTTCGCACAGTTGCTCGGGATCCACATCGACAATGACGCAGCCTTCTTCGCCGTCCCCGAATGCAAACTCGCCAGGATTGCCGTTGAGGCCGGGTCGATACTTGGCATCCACAGCAATTATTTTCTTTAGGTTCTGCTGCAGCTCCAATTCATGCTGCTGCATGTATTGGCGTTGCTCGTAGAAGTCCCTCAATATCTCCAGGCAGTTCATACAAATGTGCTCCGGCAGGAACTCATGGCGCTCATATTTCACACCATAAACAGTCTGGCAAACATCGGCAATTATGACTTTTTCCTCTTCTGTTCTTCCTTCTTCTTCTTCCTCGTGGCCAAAGTCAACAGACGCCTCGTAAATATTCGGCGAATCTGTGGTCGATTTTATCCGTGAGTGGCACAAGCGACATCTCATTGATTCCGATATTAACTTTTGATCATTTTTCTGATCCACCTTAAGCGTTCCTACGTCGAGCGTTGTCAAATCAAGCATTTTGTTCCCGTGCGTGAGTTATAAAAATATAAATGTTGTTGATACAGCGGCATTTAAACAGCTGATAGCCGCACTGTTATTAGCAGCGACCTATGTGTAAATCTGGCTTAAATTTTTGTAAATTGACTTAAATGCAAATCTTAAAATAGCATTACAGTATTATAATAAAGCATTACAGTATCAACAAGAAATTTGGAATAATGGCTCTAAGATTTTCTTTATATTAAACGAGGGATGCAAAATGCATTGATATTCGATAACAGAACGCTCGATTACTGATTATTTAAAACTATCGATTACAGATGATAACTCTTGCCACTCATTTTTATGCTATATGTTTATTTCAAAACGATATTAAATTAAGCTTCAACTCTTCACTTACCGCATCTACTGAAATAATCCGAATTTAGTGTTATTTTCAATTATTACACTCGAACAAATAATTATAGATAGGTGGAAAATAAATTGTGACGGATTAAGTTTAGCAAGAATCGTAACGGCTGTTCAATAATCAAAAAAAGTTCGCCTGCAAAATGCATATGAATTTATATACATGTGTTAATATGCACGTTCTCTTAAATTTCCTCTTGTCTCTCACATATTTGTTTCGTTTGTCTTTTTAACTGTAGGACGAGCTGTGCTTATCTGTGCGTGAGTGCGGAATAGTGTGTAATTACAGTGTTAACTGAAGCTAGAGATGGACCCGTGAGCAAAACATAAATGAGAGCGCCGAACTATGGACCATCCCAACACTTGTTGAATGCAATTTGATTTAAAATAAGAAATGTTGCACCAACGAAATTAAACTGCTAACATTGAGACTCCTTAAAATAAAGTTAGCTATGAATAGAGTCGATTCAAAACGAATCGTTAATTAAGTGGATGAGTCGTTAGTTAGAACACGAAGCGCACGCACACCCTCCACAATTGCGCGCGCACACACACATTGACACGTATTGCAGAGCATGCGAGAGTCTCGTTTAATTCACTGTTCGCTGACTGGCATTTATATTAAGCGAGCGCTGGCGGCAAGTTGTTTTGAATGGAAGTGCAATTATAGTTGTTCGGTATAACTACTTAACTTCCAATTCAAATAAAAGTAATAAGCTAATATCAAAAATCACACACTGTTTCTAACATTTGTGCGACAAGGTAAAATCGGCTTTAAGTGTTTAGTGTATGTGCAGCCATAAAGAACTTTTGAAAAGCACCGGTAAATGCTGACACCTGACGGGGCTTAAGAGCAACAGCAGAAAAAAAACGAAGAACACGAAGATTTAAAATTAACCCACAACAATAACTATTTAAGTGGAATTAACGGGGCTTGCAATCTGCCTGTTGTTTAGCTGTGTGTTACTTCCGCCTGTTGCTGTATGTTTGTATGTATGTATATGTACGCCTGCGAATATTTCAACTATCCGAACAATTCATCGTATTGTTAATTTCGTCGTCGTTATGTGCTCGTCATACGTGTGCGTGTCATCATCATGAACTACCCTGTGTCCTTTCATTGTCTTACCTCCTCACATCCCTCCAGACCAGCCCCTGGCCATAGATTTATGCTTTGTGCTGCTGAGCTACCCATAGTATTCTGTTTCATATATTTCAATTTATTTCCGCTCCTGTTTGTACGTGTGTATGTAGATATGTACATTGCTGCATATCCCATGCGTCCCAGTTCGATGGTATTACTAATTCATATTGCGTGATAAAAACTTGATAATTTCATGATAAAATATGCAGGAGGGTAAGATATTCATTTACGGTCTGTCGATAAACTTTGGCCCTAATTAAATCCAAAACAAGAAGGAATATTTACGTCATTCCGATATTAAACGTTAAATATGTACATGATATAATGGTATATATATATATATAAAGCTTTCCGAATAATCTAAGTAAGCTAATTTGCCTATGTACAATTTAGTCATTCGATTTCAAGTCGTGTGATTTCGAGACAGACGTATTTAAAACAGTTGTGAGTCGGTCGACATCGTAAAAATTTTATTAATAATATATATATTTGTCGAAATCATGACACTGTCTTATCAGTATTATGAGCAAATGGTCTCAGAATGAAATATTACTCGATCCTTACGACAGGTAATAAATGACGTCGAGTACAAGGTATTTGAGAACCGTTTACAATACATCGTATTGAATTAGTGTAGATTATTTATTATTCATAAATCATGAAATCATTCTTATAATTTTTGCTAATTCGTCATAACTTGTTTAATTAAGCATTATTATTTGACTTATTTTCGTTACATACGCAATATCTAATTTAAATATTTATTGATCTGTATTGAGTTACGATTCCTTGTATCTATGAAATGGATACATTGCTTGCATTGCTTTGTTTACTGACAGACTAACAAACTGTATTACGCCATATTGTAATAAAATCCATAATAATAATATGCTTAGAAACCTGGCAGAAGTTTATATACAATTCGTATGCAGCTTTAATAGTGTCTATCCTTATACATGTTTTCTCAACTTTTTGATCTGCACTTGTGGACGAATTTAACTGATTTTTGACCTTAAAAAAACCGTTTATTATCAGACCCCCTGCATATTGTGTTCTGATAACACCTAAATGTATTTGTGAGTAATACTAATTTAAACGTTCTAAATAAATATCACTGTAAAATGATAATCTCTACCCTGACGCACATACATTCACTACGTTAAGTGATTAGTCTTATAAATATGGAAATCAATATATGCTCATATTGCTGGCTTCTGAGCAATTTTATAATACACTGTATCAGCGTTATATCAAGGTTCAATGTATTAATCCAAACACAATGTGGAACTGCTATCAACCAGAAAAATTTGAAATGCTGATAAGCACTTGCCATTTATAATTGTTGAAACTTTGCTGTTAAAGACTCCACCTCTGTGAAATGGATTTTTAGTTTTGTTTGGGTCTCCAACTGCTTCTGACGTGTCTACATCGATAAAACTACACCTGTGAGTCAGCCCTGAAGTAATTCAATTAAACCGTAACATACTTTGTTTAAAATAGTGGCCCGTAAAATTACCCTATTGTACTATTCCCGTGGCTCAGAGCATTAGCCAAATGAGTATTTTGGCGCTCATATGATAAGCTACCGTTGCGTAGTAAAACAAGAGATTATATTAGGCGAACTATAATTTTTTAATGCTGTACACATATATGGATATGTATAGCTGCGTATCCAGGTGACTTCTTATCTCGCCATGCAGGTGTTTTAAAATCGATTTAGATATAATATACATTTGTATCTTTATACGTGATAACAAAAAAGTTAACAGCAAGCAAGCTGACAATACTTAATAATGTTTTGAACAAAGTTCTTATACATCACAGTATGCATTTAAATACTTTTTAGCAAATTGAAGTAGATTTAAGTAATTGTAGCACTCTGCTCAAAAATAATTATTAATTAAGGCATTAAACAATAAATATCAATTGAGAAATGAAGTGAATTGAAAGTAGACATCTTAACTGTAAATTATATCCTCTAAGTTCACTACGACTTTTTTGCAAGCTTTTTCTATGCTCAAATTTATTTATATTTATATCTTCTATTGAATTTTGCAGTATCGCTTGATCCTGAGCCTGGATACAAGTTTACTAATGGCATGCACCTTTGAAATAATTGGCCTCGGCTGCGTCGTTGCGCTCATTTTGAGCATTGCAGCCAAGGCACCTTATCAGACGAGGTTGATTATTGTGATGTTTGGAGCGGGTGTATCTGTACTGATATGTCTACCATTTATGCTCCTGCGTCCGCGCGACTATCGGAACGGGCTGTATGTCGAGTTTTGCTGGACAAAATTGCAGTTTCTCTTTTAATAATTATTATTTTTTATTAACAGTGTCCCATCCTGGTTATTCGTTCAGATATGCAAGCTAATGGGTATTACGATGGAGGTGCGTGGTACGGAGAACGTAAAAAGTGAACATGGCAGCGTTGTTCTAATGAATCACCAGAGTGCTTTGGACTTGTGCATGCTTGGACATCTGTGGCCGGTGATTGGCAGGGCAACTGTTGTGTCCAAAAGGGAAATTCTTTATATTCCCTTCTTTGGGGTTGGCGCATGGCTGTGGGGCACTTTGTTTATTAACCGGTCACGGAAGACCGACTCTATTAATTCGCTGCAAAAGGAGGCGATAGCAATTAAAGAGCTCAACTGCAAGATTTTAGTATTTCCAGAAGGCACACGCAACTCCAAGGATACCCTGCTGCCATTCAAGAAGGGCTCCTTTCACATTGCCCTCCAAAGCAAGTGCACAATACAGCCGGTGGTTATGTCGAAATACGAGTTCTATGATGAAAAGACGAACGGTTTCCGACCCGGCCATGCAATCATACAAATACTGCCCGAGATATCAACGGATGGCTATAAAAAGGAAGATATGGACAAGCTGATCGAGCATTGTCGCTCGGTTATGCAGGAGGAATTCACAAGGCTGACTAAGGAGAGACTCGCCTTGAATGCGAAAAAACATTCGTAGAATATTATTTATGTAATATAAGATTGAACTCAAGTACACTAATTGTCGTTACTTTTAACTGAGCCAAACAATATGCTTGATATTGTGAAAATCAAAAGAAGATATTTATGTATATATATATATAACGGATTTAAATTGATTTATTAGTGTTAAGTTTAATGGATAACAATACAACATAAATACCGCTTGAGCCTATTTTTGATTAACTTTTAACTGTTATTAGAATTCACCAAGTAAATGTTCGGGTATAATTGAAACTTGCCAAAACTAACCAAATGTTTTTCAAGGCTTTTACTTACATGCGAATGTATAGGTATATTTAGTTAATGGTTAGGTATTTTCTTAATTGAAATTTATTAAAAAGAATAAATGTTTCACAAATGTTTTTTTTATTTATTGTGGTTAGTAAGAAAATTAATGTTATTTAAGGTTCCTCTTAAGATCTGGGGAATATGTTGCCCAAACCTTAACTGGATTTTACTTTTTTAAAATGTTTGATTTGACTTCATTTTTAAAATTCACAGCCATATTTTATTTAAGTTTGTTTATTCAAATTTCGGTAGGCCCAACTGATGATAATTTTAATTGTTATCGTTTTTGTCGTTACACTTATCGATACATGAAATCCATTGTTCCCATTGTGAAATCAAACAGCTGATTAGTGGAACCGTGATAAAGAAAAGCATCAACACAGTTCAAATCGGCTTGCAACTAACAACAATTATTAATATTCTGCATTTGTACATTTTATTCAAATATTAAACTCTGATGTCAACACTAAATACTCAATTAAGAAGAATAGAAAAGAGATAGCTAAAAGATGGAACAAGTGCAAATAAAAACCGAGCTAGAAGATGACAATGATGAATTTGTGGCCCATTCAGACCCTCAGGAAACTCATGTAGAGTCCAGAGACTCAGAGACAACTCTGGATATAGTGGTCAAGTCGGAAATTGATATTGAGCCGACAATTGTGGCTGAGACTCAGAAGTTATACGATATAGAGAGACTGCGTATTTTTGGTGATGTGCCCTTTGTCATCAAGCGAATGGAGCCAGAGGACTTTTCAATCAGCTATACCAAAGCGGTGAGCAGCGTGGAAACAATCTTGGAGCGATTGAGACGCAACCAGGTGCCAATGAGCACCGGCATTGCCTTTCGCATTGAAAAACACACACCCTCGTCATGCATATTGATTATAGCGTGAGTCGAATTTACAAATCGAACCTGAAATCACAAACTAATTGATTTCCATTTCAGCATACTGAATCACAAATGTCATTTCTATTGCACAGAATATGGGATGCTGTCGGAAGCGCTGCATGGTCAGATGTGTCGTGCTGGCATTGATTACCTAATTGTTAACAGTCATATGCCTGTTGGTAGCGATTACTTCGAGCTCCTCGACACCTATCTCGTCTATAATGAAGAATACAAGCTGTTCAAGCTGAAGCATACTTCTACTGATCCACCACCTCAGGCAATGGCGTCTTTGCCAAATAACATGTGCTACACAATTACGACTACTGGGACCACAGGATTACCAAAGTTAATACACGTACCTTATGAATCCATTCAGCCCAATATAATTGGACTAAGGTGCGTTAAAGATCTCTCTAAAAGAGAGTGGGTTACGACTTGAACGTTTGCCAACAATAGAAACCTATGTCTGGACTAAGACTCTTTTTTATTTAAGAACAGTCAAAAGCTAAACATATCCATGGCTGACATCATTTACCTGGGCACTCCTTGCACCTTTGATCCATCTGTAGTCGAACTGTTTTTGGCCATGCAGAATGGTGCTGCAGTGCTCATCAGCCACTGTTTGATGCGTGAGTCGCCCAAACGAGTTTTGAGTGCCCTTTTCCCCAGCTGTGTAACCACGCCCGGCATCACCGTATTGCAAATGACGCCATCAGTGTTCAGGCAGTTTGGTGCGAACGCGATACGTGAACACATCTTAAGCCGCTCGAGTACATTGAGGTATTTACTGAATCCTAACGATCCTAATGAGAATCACTTTGAAAATCACTCTTGTGTTTAGAGTATTACTCTTGGGTGGAGAACCATTTCCGTCAACTGCAGAGCTGACCACCTGGATGGAGCCAGAGGTGCTGTGTCAGAAGCAAATCTGTAACATCTATGGCATCACGGAGGTTTCGTGCTGGAGCACAATGCACATTCTTAAGACGCTGCATTCGCGTGTCCCTTTGGGAACGCCCATTGATGATCAGACCGTATTGCGTATCAAACTTCTGCCAGTAGAAAATATTTCAAGCGTTGGCTGTGGTGAACTTTGGCTAGGCAGTGCAACGCGTCGCTGCTATATACCAGAAACTGATGATGTGGATAGCGAGGAGAGAACAAATTCTGAAATTTGTTTTCGCGCCACGGGTGATCTGGTGCGACGTCTTCACGACGGTTCCATCGTTTACGAAGATCGTGCCAATGATGTTGTCAAACGTGGCGGGAACCGCATTAGCCTAAGTATGACAGATTAAACAAATATAAGGATATACCATTAAATATTCCTTTTTTTCAGGCCACATTACACGCAAGATAGAGAATTGCTTGCAAAGCAGCGAGCTGGCCATCTGTCTGTGGCAGGTGCAGTTGGAAAAGCTCATCTGCTGTATTCGAAGTCTGGAGCTCAAGACGAAGGTGCAACAGAGGGTGCAGACTTTTGACATACTCTCTAAGCTGATGGCTGTCGAGCAGCCGGACAGATTCGTTTACCTGCAACACTTTCCCTGCAATGCACATGGCAAGCTGGACAAGAACTTGCTGCTTAAGGAGTCAACACTATTGGCGCAGCCCGCCCAAGACATACTAAAGAGTTTTCTACACGACAGGCTGGAGTGTGTGAACGAGCCAAATGAGAAAGTGGAGAAAGCGACAAAGAAACAACGCGTGGCGCCTCAATTGAAGTTGCCAAAGATATCCAGCGACTACAATCTGAGTTTTCGTCAGGCGGGAGGATCGTCATTCCATGCGATAACGTTGTGCCGAGAAATTGGCCTACAGATGTGCATTGACGATGAGCAGCGGCATCTGTTTGACCTGCTGCTGGACGAAAATGTACCGTTGCGCGACGTGCTGAGCTACCTGGATAAAGCGAAGCTTGTGGCACACAATACCAAAATAAAACCAGTTGAGCCCATTTCGAATTCCACGGTTAGTCCGAAAGCCAATAGCGGACTGGTCATCAGACGCATCGAAAAGCTGGACATTAACTGTCAGTTCCAATGGAAGGTGAATTTCGGCAAGTGTATTGATTCACCGGTGGCACAATTCGATGATCGTTATGTGTGCGTGGGCGCCCATTCGAAGATACTACGTACCCTCGATGCGATGTCGGGCAAAGAGGTATGCCAGATGAAGCTCAGTGACCGCATTGAGTGCAAAGTCACGTTTGCTAGCAAGCAGCTGGCCATTGTGGGGTGCTACGATGGTTGCCTGTATGGATTCGATCCCATGGAGGGTAAAGTTTTATGGTGCGCTGAAATCGGTGGCATGATCAAATCGCAGCCATTCCTCTCATCGAACGGTGACCGCGTTGTGGTCTGCAGCTATGCAGACGACTATAATGTCATATGCCTGTCCATGGATCGGCAGCAAATACTCTGGTGCATGCGCATTGGCAGAAAGGGAATTTTTGCTAGTCCACTGGAGCTGACCGGGCAACAGGCGGTGATTATTTGCACACTGGATGGTCATTATGCACGCGTCTCGCTACTGAATGGCGCGATGCAGTGGCTCCAGAGGTGTAAGAAACCCTTCTTCTCATCACCCGTCCTGCTGGACTCGAGTGCTGACATCTTTGCCTGCGCCGAGGTAGCTGGACGCGTCCATGCCTGCGATGTGAATAGTGGAAAGATTGTAAGCTCACTTGAATAATATTTAATATTGACATATTAAATTATATTATGCTCTCTCTTTCAAGCTGGCCACTTATGCAGTGGAGGGCGACATATTCTCTTCGTTGGTAGCGAAGACGACGCCCACACACATGGGACACACTTTGGTGCTCTTTGGATGCATTGATCATCACGTGTACTGCCTGCGATGCAAAACGAGTGCCGGTCCAAAGACGTCTTTGGAGCTACAATGGAGGGTGAATGTGGGCGGTTCAATCTATGCGACACCCACAATACTAACAATAGAGCCAAGTCAGAATTTGGTATTTTGTTGCACCACCGATGGTCAAATTGCGATTACAAATCTGAGCACCGGGCAGATGCAGTTTTGGGACAAGCTGCCAGGCGAATTGTTCTCCGCGCCGTGCTACATTGAGAGCCTTAGACGCATTTATTTGGGTTGCCGTGATAATTATTTGTATTGTATGGGAATTTAAGAATAACGAATGATCAAGTAAAAGATTCTAATCAATTTTTGGACTCTAAAAGAAATCCAAGTTGTGCCATTATCTTTTCCTTGAGTATCAACTTATTATATTATCCGATCAATTTGAATAATACATATACATATATATAGATTTAAACTCTGTACCCAAAATATCTTCCCGACTCACGTCCTTAAACGAATTAAGGCAATAAAAATAGTTGTTTTTAAATGTGTTGACTTTTTATTGGTTTTGGCTGCTAATATACATGAAAATGATTATTATTTACACATGATTCATTAACAAATCTAACGAAAATGCGAACAGTTTCAAAAAGTTTCATTTATTTCGAAGATCTTAAGCTTGTCCTTAAAACCTCCGCTGCCTTCGCCTTGTTCTGCCGCATTTGCTCCAGATCGCGTTCTCTTTGGGGTATTACCTCCTTGGTGTTGGGAATGCGTGCGCATTTGGCGGGCTTCGAGGTAGCCTCAGACGTGGAAGGCATTTCACTCGTTGTTGCCTCCGTTTCTTTTGCGCCTTTTCGTTTGACACGTCTTGGACGTGCAGGACGATTCTTATCCCCATCTTCTTCATCCAAGGGAGCTTCCTGGGCTTTCGTTGTCAACGCTGCGGCGTTTCGTGCACGACGAGTTGCCCGTTTCGGTTTCTCCGGCGTTTCCGCATCAATTTTACCAGACATTTTATCAATTGCTGTCTGAACACGTTTGCTGACCATTGGCTGCTGCACTCGAAGCGCACTCTTTGCCGTGAAGTAATTGCGTATGGAGCCTTGAATCTTCTTCTCGTTGATTTTCTTCATGACCGGCATGAGAATGTCATCAGTCTTGGACGTGGTCCAGCCAAAGAACTTACGCGCGAATTCGCGTATGGACTCCACATCGGGTGAGCCCCAACTGAAAGCGTCGCGGGTCTCATCAACTTTGGGCGTTAAGTATGCTTCCACAACGGACGAACTGGGAAAACCCTCGTGCAGATTTATGTTCTTGAGTTTCTTGCGCAGAGAAATACGCGCCGTGCTGCCGACTGGTATGTTGGCATTGTGTTGCGACTGCCACCAGTCTCGGAATTTAACTAATGTGGACAGGACAGACTGATTGGTGATGGCGCTTCCATTGCTAGCCGTATCCAATGATGTAGTAGCAGAATCCAACTTAGACGTCGTAAAGGAAGCCAGTATTTCAAGAGCAGTTACGGCACCAATGCCGTGTATACCTGCAACAGATTTGCTTATTATACTTATATTCAGTAAAATAAGTAGTTGGGTTCACCTGTAGTATAATCACTGCCCACGAGGCAAGCGAGCTGAATGAGCTTGCTGCGATTGCAGTTAAATGTCTGCTCAATTTGCTCGGCCCGAAACTCAAGCACATGCTTATTTTGAGCAAAGAAATTCTTGTAGACAGTGCGACCACCAAACAGCCAGATATCGCTATCATCCGTTATGGTGCCATTGGTTATCTCCACGGCATTGAGGAAAGCGCATTGGGCTTCCGCTTCCATTGGTGCCACAATGTACGGTATGCCAAATAGGCGTAACAGCTCCTGGCAATCGTTGCTCATCCGCTGACTAATCGACATACCCATTCGATCCTGTCGATTGCGTTCGGCTTCCAATTCCCGGCGCTCCTTTGCCAAATCAGTTGCCATTTTCTCTAGTTCTTCAGATGTGTTCTGTGATTTCAATGCATCTGCTGCATCCTTAATAAGGTCCTGCAAATTATATTTATATTTATATTTAAAACAGTCATATCATTTATTTGAAGAACATACCTCAGTATTAACTGGCTGAACCTCTTCGGGCTTTTCACCATTCTCAAAAAGTGACTTTGCCGCTTTGCTTGGTTTTTTGCTGGGTGAGACGTCACCCTCATCCAACTTCTCTCCCGAACGTTTGCCTCCCGATTTTGGTGTACGCCTTACATAGAACGGTTTGGCCACCTTGGGAGTTGTGGGCGGCGTTACCTCAGTATCCTGTGGCTTTTCGGGTGTGCGTTTAATCTTGTATGTTGTTTCAAAGTAATCGGTTATTGCTTTGCTCTTGCTTGGCGTTTTATTTGGCGACGTGGTTTTCGTATCCTGTTCAGTGTCGCATAACTCAATGACTTCCTTAGACTCAGGAGGAGCTGGCACTTTCGCACTCTCATCGTCTGAGGAGAGTTCTATGACCATACTATTGCTTAGTTTAACTGATTCCAATTTAATGTTTTTAACTTCATCCGTTTGTCGCTTGAGCTCATCAAGTATGGAGCTCAGAGCTGGTGCCGGTTTCTCGATTTCTTTTGTGGCAATCAGTTTAATATTTTCACTATTTTCAGAATCTTTAGAAATGTTTAACACTTTTTTGGACTTCTCTTCTGACTCTGTGCAATTTTCCTTCATTTTAGGTGCGTTGTCTTCTGAATCTAATACTTGTTTTTCGGTCTCTGTTGTGAGAATTCCTTCATTTCCTTCGTTATTGTTGTCTACTGATTCTTTTGCCTCAATAACACTATCAATCGATTGCTCTTTTATTTCTTCTATGAGCAATTTAGCAACAGGATCTTCAGCATCACCAGTGACTGCTGCCTGAGTCTTAAGATCCTTTAGCTCGCTTTCATTTTCAAAAAGGTCCGCAAAGAGATCATCTCCTTCATTCAGTTGGTCTTTAATGTCCACACAGATTTCGAGACTCTGTTTGCATTCTGTTGGCATTCCCTTTACCTCAACAACTTCTTCCAAGTCTGAATCAGTATCGCTATCAATGACTTCAACTTGTTCCGATTTGTTTAGATCTGCAACGGATGCCTTCTTACTCTGTTCAATTGCCATGGCGAGTAGTTTAGCTTCTTCTGCTGAATTGTTGGCTGTGTCAGCCTTTGCTAATGTATCATTGACATTTGTGTTGTGCAGCAGTCGCTCCAGAGACTGTGTATCATTCAGTTGTGTCGCTTCCATGATATTTTCAACCTCATCTTCGTTCATGCCACCGTACTCGATCATGTAGGTACGTGCTGGACCCTTTGCCGCATGACGCAAGTTCTTGCTTTGTTCGCGATTCAATCGCAAGTCCTGATCAGAATCGTAATCATAGTCCTTTTCGTCATATACTTTTGTTTCCTCAAGCGATAGTGCCAATGCCATTTGTAAGTCTGCATCGTATTCTACACCCAATTCTTTCTTACTTTTATCGTTGAACGCGGGTGGCTTCACAGCGTTCGCCGAGGTAGATGGCTTTTCTTCATTTTCATCGTGTTCATCGATTTCGTCCTTGATGGTCTCACATTTTACTTTGATTTTGCTTTCCTCCGTAGCCATGGATTTCTTTTTAAGATCACGCACCAAGAGGAATCGTACGTGCTCATCTGAGCTAATTTGACGCGTATTTTGCTCAATTGCCGTGGGTGTAACGATGCCCTCCTCACTGAAGAACTCGGATAGCTCTGCATAGGTCAGTGTACGGCCACCCATCTCATCCTCGGCCTGTTCGAGGCTCTCCTGAACGGCACGTCGCTTTAGCAGGCGCTTCATTTGGAATGAGCAGAAGTCATCGCTTCGTGCCGGCAGCTCATGGAGGCGACCCCAGGAGGATTGCTTACGCGTCTCCTTTATGTCTGTGAGTATTTCGTGACGGACATCGGCCGGCAGGTTCTTAAAATGTTGACTGCGCACATCGATGGCCTGCAAGCTGGCGTTGTATGAATGTCTTGCAGTTGACTCATCGAAGGAGCTGTCCGACGTGGCACTGGTACTTGCATACTCCTGATCCTGATCCTCGTAGTCGCTTTCACTAATTTGAGCTGAAGATGATGTTGCTGGCAGTTCCGGCAACTTGAACAGATCGTCTTCATCAGTTTTGCTTGACTTTGCTGCAGCTCCACGCTTAATGGGTGACTTGAGCAGCATTTCCGCGTTGGTGCCCAGCGCCTGTTGCACCACCTTCTCCTTAGCGAGTGACTGCAGCAAGAGTGCCTGAATGCGATCAGCCTCATTGCTCAGCTTGCTGCGCTGTTGCTGACGGCGAGCCTAAAAATTATAATCAAAAATAGTTTAACGAACCAGTTGCAAGCGATGCAACCAGCAGGACAAACTGACAATTGTATCGCGCTTCAATTGCGGCACGCTGCCATCAAATATGAAAACCGGCCGCACACGATAATAAAGCAATTTGCACAGGCGATGGAAAAGACCCAACAGATGAGCATTGTTCAGTGCGGATCCCTTGCTGTCCTGAAAGCCTTTCACAACCTGATGCAGCCATATCGAAATATCTTTGTGCAAGAAAAATGAGAAATGTTTATTGAGAATTTCACAATCTGGCATAAGGAGTAAAGTTTTTACCAACGGCCAGCACCTTTCCCTCCAGTGTCTCCACCGGCACCGGTTTGCCACAAGGCTCTATCAGCTTCCACAGACCAGTTACACCCATTTGGCATATAATTATAAGTGAACAACATGCAGCGAAGTAAATTATTAAAAAAAGCCATGCAAAATGCCTGGCTTGCAGCTAGAGATGAGCGCGTGATGAATTCCATTTAATACGATATAAAAAGACACCAGACACCCGAACAAATTATATACACGAGACGAAAAACACGAAATATTTATATTTTGTGTTTACAATATGCAAGAATTCCTGCAGTCCTGATTGTGTTTTGTATTAATTGTTTATATTTTTATCTGTTAGATAAACTATGATAATATGAGGATTATTAGGACTATACATTTATATCTATATAAAAAGTATTTGAAAAGCCGAATTGGTTGCTTGACCATTATTTATTGGCGTCTTCATTATCGGCAGCAGCAGCTGCTGCAGCTGAGCTGCTACTCGCTGTGGCATCTCCAGTACTGATATCCTTTTTGCTGTTTGCCTTGCTCTCTTTTTTATCCTTCACCATCTTTCTGTACGCCTCCAAGTCCTGAGTGAGCGATGGCACAAAGCTCTCAAAGTCCAGTTCGTTGAGCGTCTGCAAAATATCCTTGGCCGTAATGGTCCTGTGGTTCTGCTTGTGTGCCAATGCCGTCGATGATGAAGTTATAAATATGACAAAAACAGAAGCGGCCTTTGCAATTGCAACACGCGCCTCCTTGCTGACATTGGAGCCATCGGGCAGAGCATCCTTGATCAGGCGGGCAATCACTGCGTTCGGTAAATTCAAGTCTTCGATGCGTTCGACCATGTTGAAGTCTATATGTATCTTTAATACTTGATGCGGTTAAACTGTAAATATTTAGCGCAAATGCGTGCGTTGTTATTCCTTCCCGCGTTAAGAACAGATGATTTCAACAGTGTTGGGTAACTGCAGGCGCGTTGTCTTGCGAAAGTGCTGTACGCTTATCGATATATCGGTATTGTATCAACAAACTTCGCCACAAACGCAAACATTTTGCGCGTTTTATTAATTTGGTAATTTAAAACTGAGAGTTGCATAAATGTGCAAGAGACAGTCAACAAGTATATGTCAGCTGTTTTATTTTGAGCCCAGGTGATACAATACCTGTGGGTGTGCCACCTACCGCAATAACAATAGTGTTCACACGCACATGGAGAATTCGGCGGCGACGCCGACGACGACAACAAACAAAACAACAACGTCAAAGAAACGCAGGCACAGCGAATATCATGATCCCGATTATGGTTTCGACTACGACAGCTCCGCCACTGGCTCCCATGTGGAGAAGCGCGTCAAGCAAGAGCAAGAATACCCAGAGAATGACGAGCAGCAGCAGCCTGAGCAGAGAATCCCTGTTACCAATGTTGAAAGTGTGGCACAATTAAAGCGCATCGAGCAAATTATTTACGCCGAATTCCAAAAGGAATTGACCCTAAAGGAGCAACAGTTGGGCGAGATCGATGGCCGACTTTCGCAAGCACGCCAGCTCTTGGACAAGCTGCGTTACCATGTGGTCAACGACTACTATAAGAAGCAACAAGTTCCGCTAACAGCTCCCGATGTGGCCCGGGTACGATCCAGCGACACATTATTTGGGGATGGGCTTGAAAGTGCCGGAGCGCAGCTGCCCTTGCATCCGGCCATCAAAAAGATTGTGGGCAAACGGCCAGCTCCCATCCAGCTGCATCTGCCAGAGCGCACAGCTGCAACGTTGGCAAAACAGACGATTAGGCTGCGTAATCCGGCACATCGACGAGCCGAGCGTCGACGGCAACAAAAGATACGCGAGCAGGGCATTGTTACGGATCACACGCAGGAGACGCGCAAGGAGCCGGAAGTGGCTAGCGGCGAGGAACAGCCCTGCACCAGCAGGCAGGCGGCATACAAACAGCAAATGGAACTGGAGGCATCTGTGCCGGCACTCAATACCTCCCGCTTGAACAACAAAAACAAGTTTCATTTTGTGGTGGGCAACACATCCAAGTATCTAGGTGGTGTGGATTCGGATGTCCAAAATGGTCAGGCGCTTGCCTACAAATGGTTGGTCTATGTGCAAGGCAAAAATCTGCCAATGCCACCGGAGACGTACTTGAGAAAGGTGAGTCATTGCTTATATCGTAGTTGGATCGTATTAACTGTTTAAATTGTTTTAGGTGCGCTTCCAATTGCATCATTCATATCGACCCAATGACATTGTGGATGTGCATTCGCCTCCCTTCCAGTTGACACGTCGAGGCTGGGGTGAGTTCCCCATGCGTATACAGCTCTATTTCCAGGAGCATCTGCAGCAGAAGCCTGTCCAGCTAATGCATACTATTGTGCTGGACAAGACGATGTGCGGCTTGCACACCATGGGTGGCGAGACTACTGTGGAGGTTTGGCTGCGTGCTGATATTCCTGACACGAAGACGACGACGACGACAACGCCAACGTCTACGGAAGTCAAGAAAGAACCGCTGATGGCAACAACACCTGCAATAAAAACACTATCTCCACCGCTGGACAGTTCCAAGCCGCGCACCATTTCCATTACGCAGAACAAAGAGGATCTGGATGATAATCTGTTTGCGTGCATTAACAAAATCGAGCTAAGCGATGACATTGAACAAATCGAGCCCACTGTGCTCGTCTCGGAGCAGCTGAAGCTGAGCAGCCCCAAAAAGCAGACACAAACAGTTTCCATCGAGCATGAACCTGTCCCAAAACCCAGTTTTGCAGTCAATGGCGGCAGTAGTGGTTACAAAAGTCAACAGCTGCGCAACGGACACAACAAAGCGCAAGTGAAGAACGTTGTCTTTCAGAAAGCGGGAAAGCTCTACATAATTGATCCGCTGCAATCGAAGTTGAAGCAGGCCGCCAAGCAGCAATCGCTGCTCAAGCCGCAGCTCAGTCTGCTCAAGCAGCCAACACAGCAGTTGTCCAAGCGTTGGCACCTGCTGCAGTGCATCCAAAACGATCACGGTTATGCGAATATGAGCAGCCAGGAGGAGCTGCCAGTGCCAGCGTCGCCACTAAGCCAGCGTCTGAGTCTCGAGCAGCGCTTTTGCGGCACACAGTTCCAGAGTATGCGGAGTGCTGTGGAGTTTCTGCTGCGCCGGCTGCCACTGACTAGCACAATGATGGTCAGTGAATTTGCCTTTGGCAGACATAGCCCGGCTGCATTCCAAGCGCAGTCGGCCTTGCGTCAACGCTTCTTCGAATGCATGCGCGGACGCACCTTGTTGCGCTGCATGCGGCAACATCAACGACTTCAGCACCTGCATGCTAGCAAGAAGGAGCACTTCTGGAGCATACGCGAGATTGTGGCCTTTGCACGCTTGCACGGATATACGCCGCCCTTAAAGATGCTAACGGTCAGCCGGCAAAGAGCTAGCTCAGCGTCATTACCCTTATCGGAGCGTGTGCAACAGCAACTAAAGGAGGAGCCGCAGCCGCAACTATTGGCCTTTTCAACGCTCACCCCATGCTCCCGCCTGAACAGCTGGCTGGCACAACAGACGAAACGCCTGCCAAGTCGTAAAAGAATCGTAGACGACCAACAGCTAGTCGACGTGGTTGGACTGAATCCGCCTAGCTTGAAAAGACCACGGCCTCCCAATTTATCTGACCATTTAATAAATCGTCAGTTGCTATATTTACCGCCGCCCGAGGAACTCGACGCATCCACGCAGCTGGTGCACGACATGTGCAAAGATGTGGGCATTGTTCTCAATGCAGAAATCAGCGTTCCAGGCGTATCTCAGTCCCTGGCGCTCACCGTACTCGCGCATGTGCTTCGAATGTTCATCGAGAAGTTGGTGCGTCGCGCCGTGGCTGCCAAACTGCAGCAACAACAGCAATCGCCGCATACGATAGATGCACTGCCTCCGGCGGCAGCCAATGTAGAAGTGACCTTGCTACCCCACGATATCGGACGTGTGATCGCCAAGAGTGCAGAACTCGATTTCCTTGGCAATTGTAACCTGGGTGTGGAGTATACGGATTCGCAGTCCTAGTCATTGCCACAGTCGCAGTTGCCATTGTGTATGGAATTTACTCACCATTTACCATTCGCCTAGTTCAAAATCCTCTGGGATATTAGCTATAGACAAATAGGTTACCACTAAATATACTTATTTTATGTATGTAATAAATAAATTATAACTTTTTATATGCCTAATTTTTGTGTTGTTTAACCAAGAACTATTTGCTTTGATATATTCACTTAATTGTGTGAAATTATCTCTGGTTAGATATTAGAGCTGACCATGTCAATAACCTATTGAGAATGTTCATCATCAATGGGTGTCATTGTGACACGGTGTGAAAAGGGTGTCCCTGTGGCAATCGCGATAGGGATTCAATAAAAAAAGTAAACAAATATTGAGTTGATATTATTTTTTAAGTAAATATACATTTATTTGATTCAATGATTTTTAGCGTTTCAACAATGTAAATATTCAGCTAATGTTTGTTTTGTTTTGTTGTTGTTGTTGTTGTTATTGTTGTTTTCTTTTTAACGTACACAATATTATTGCATTTATAATTGTTCTCTTTCGAAACGATTTACATATAACTAATGTTAATAGTTTAGAACAACTATGTGATTATAATAATTTAATCATTTGTCATTTGTTTAAATTAAAAAAAGTAAAAAAGTCTCTTGCCTATGCAACAAACTAAAAGATACACTATATCATTTTTTTTGTTTAGTAATACTTGAAATAAAGAAACTAAGTAGAGTTAATTGGGGTTTCTTATGTATAGGTATATTTCTCATGAGTGTAGAATCACAGCCTTTTCGCGAACATTGAACATTATGGTCCTGTTCTGTTTGAATTGTCCAGTATTTAAAGTTATCATTTATGGTGATATACAGTACATACATACATATACAAAGTGATAGTCGCTTAAATAATCCATATGCATTGTACGCAAACATCTATATCAATGTGGTATTATTTTAATCAGTTATGTTTAACAATAGGTGCGTCACAAAAGTTAGGATTAAACTAGGTTATAGGTGGCTGGCTATACGCACTAAATATGCCTAGGCAAATTACGTACATAAAGTAACTTACTACTTATATACAAATAAATATTCATAAATGACGACATTCATGTATAACTGATACAAATGCGTCTCATTGATGCGTTTCAATATTAAGGCAAACATTTCAACTAAAACGTGTAATTAGGTTGCATGGGAATCGTAGTGATGAGCCCGAAATAAACAATGTTCTAACAAATATTACTTAGTGTGCTATAGTCGCTAATTGATTTACATTCAATTCAAATTTATACTAAGTGTATATCTACGCTAATTTCAGAAACTAGAGAGCTGGAGTTGGTCAACTAATCATCTACAATTAAACTAATATAAATCGGTGTCTAAAGGCCACATATTTAAACTGAAAGCACATGTGTAAGTATTTGATTTTGAATTATGATGTTGCGGATGAAAACGTTGCAGTTTGGCGCTGGATCAGGTAATCGATGTTATAATCTGATTCTTAGACCCATAATCGGCGATTCTGCAAAAGAATTTGACGTTAAAAGGCAGCCAATGAAAAGTTAAGTCTACTAAAAACTACAAGAAATATGCAATGTATAAATAAAAGGACACAAAATCATAAAAGAAAAAATGATAAACAAAATAGAGTATTATATGTATGCAGCATGCATAGTTAAAAAATAATTTATAATGATAAAATCATTCAAATTGAACTTGCAGCGGTAACTAGTATTTTGTGCCTTTTACCTATAAATTGATGAGGCTGACGTCGAGCGTGACCACGTTACTAACAAACCCTCACCTCTGGTGCGCTCGCGTTTGCTGTTTAAAATGACTTTGGTACTATCGTCTGGACACATGGATGTGCGCACTGTAGTAAGGACCAGGCTGCAGATAGAGAAACAAAGAGGTTATGGGCGATACACCGGGAATGAGTATAGTTCAAATTTACCGAGGCAGCACAGCAACCACTGTGGATAGCAATATAACAAGCCAGTGCACCGCAGAGGCAAAACATTTAAAGATTACCCAATAGGTTGAGGGCAGTCCGAAGCAGTTGACACACATCGAATTGTATACAATGGAGAACAGATAAAAGGAGCCCAAACTGATTACAATTGATATGACATGGAGCACCGTCTGGGGATAAAAAGAGTTATGATTAGTAAATAAAATGTGTTCTTTGAGTGTGCGCACACAAAAGCCATACCCAGGAACGTATTTCAATGGCACAGTGCACTAAATTCGCAAACAGACAGCTGGCCGTGATGGTCGTACCAAATTCCCAGATACCCACATCACTTTCCGCATACGCGCACAGTGCAACAAAGAATATGACAAGAGATTGATAGAGGGAATCTAGGAGTATCAGCCAAAAGTCATGCGGTCTATACACCACACCCAAGCGACCCTGAAATGTATGGAGTTGTTATAGCAAGATTTCGTTTTGATTATATAATTTGCTTACATTTTTGTATAGATATGGATTTTTTAATAGCAAGTCCTCCGGCACTCGATTATCGTAGACACCAATCGCCAGGGGCGGCAGTGAAGTGAATAGCAAGTTGTAAAGCATTAGATACATTTGGTCCATCATCACAGAACCGGAGAAGCCACAGTATAATTGATACCAGAATATCAGAAAAACAAATGCCTGCAAGCTCAGATATAGTTGGCAATTAAATATCGTAACTGGTTATGTGGAAAAACAAATGCCTACCGCATTCTTATAGAAGAAGTATAGAATCATGCGCGCCAGTCGATCATAGCACCAATAGCCATGGGAGAGCAGCAGGCGTTCCAGGTACCGAAAACGTGAGAGTGTAAAATCGGCTGCCATCACCGCTTGCATGCCTTCCTGACCGGAGATGCCTACGCCGACATCAGCCATTTGTATCATGGACACATCGTTGGCCCCATCACCAATGGCCAGCGTGCGCAGATTGAGTTCCTCTTTGACCACTTTGACCAGGTAGGCCTTTTGCAGTGGCGTTGAACGACAGCAGAGCACCGAGGAGCACGCTTTAGCCAGCTTTAGAAATGTCGGCACTAACTTTGACCTGCAAGAAGACAGGTATTTAGATCAGGACTTATTTGGTGTGTGTGCAAGTGCAGTGACGTACTTGGGATCCAAGATGAAGGTAAGCGTTTTTCCATCCACGACCAGAGCGCGGGGTTTACTGCGCGGCGTTAGGCAGTAGCCAACGGAGTTAGTCGCCTTGGCATTCTTCATTTCCGTCAAATAGAAATTAATGGCCGTCTCCGCTGCATCCCGAGATCGAGCGGTTAGCCTGAATTAGCATAAATAACAGGTCATAAATAAAATGTCATGAATAAAATAAGACTATTCTTGGATCACTCACTTGATTAGCTCCATTTGCTGTGTGAAGAGTTTGGCCGAGTAGGCAATGTTGATGGCCGTCTCCGGCTTGTCGCCGGTTAGCACCCATATTGAAATGCCCGCTGCGATTAGCGATGCTATCGTCTCAGGCACACCATCCTGCAAGCGATCCTCAATACCTGTGGCGCCCAACAGCGTCAGATTGCTCTCCAGCTTGGCGAATGAGTCGCGCAGCCGGCGCTCCCGATTCTCGTGTGACATCTCAATATCCTGATGATGCGCCCACCAGTCCGTATAATCACTAGCATTTAAGGTACGCTTTGCCATCACCAGAATCCGAAGACCTTCCCGTGCATAGCGATCCAGCTGCTGTTGCGTCTGCTCACGGAGCAAGCCTAAAAAATGAAACGAAAAACCGTTATGAAAACCAGTATGATTAATATACCCTGTAAGGGATGTTCTAAAGGTATTCGCTTCACGTACATTCAGGGCTGTTGTGCGGACAGGGCGCCAGTACGGGCATAATGGAACTGTCGGCGCCTTTTGTGTAGAGGATAATCTCTTGGGTGCCTGTTTGACGGACAACAATCGACATGCACTTGCGGCTTGAATCGAAGGGCAGTATTTTAAGTATCTCATACTCAACGGTGGCGCCTGCCGTTGGCATGCCAACAAGGATGTGATTAGGGCTGCGATTTAGTAGACAACAATCGTAGCTATATGCGGCATTGACAAGCGCCAGCTCATCGGGACTCTCAGCCTCATACAGAGGACGACCGTCAGCGGTTCTGTATATAGTTTGCGTCTTCGTTTGGCTGCGAACAGATTGAGAGTTGAAAATTATTTTGGAATCAGCATCAGTATTATGGGGCACACTCACTTGATCTTCATGCGTTTGCCATGCGTTTTGGCATTGAGAAATGTGGCTATGCTGGTGATCTTGGAGTTGATGACAGCCTTGGCGCGACCCGTCGGTGAAATGCTATTGGACAGCGCCTTGTTCTTCATGGGCGGCGATGGCGACTCCGAGCCAGGCGTCGACTCCGGTGAACTGCTGATCGGCGAGAGCGTCGGCTGATGACTCTGTGCGGGCATGGCAAACAGCAAATTGGGTGGCGGTGACGGAGTCACCGAACGCGATTCAGGCAGTAGCGAATAACGATCTGCCAAGACACCGGCTCCTGGCTGCGGTGTCCCATTCATAATGGTTGTGGCTGTTGTCGTTGTGGTCGTTGTGCTCACCAGATTGCGACGCGGTCTGACATGCTTTAGGGTGGAGGGTGAGGGGCCTACCGTGGTCGGACTGGTCGCGCTCTGTTGCAACTCGATGATGCCGCTGGCGTTCATGAGATCCCGATGCGGCGCCGCACTCACGATGACCGTGTTGCATATGGCCAACACAACCAGAAATTCCTGGATGCACTGTGCATTGGGCGTCAGATAGGCACCAACGCCCACCCCGACCAACTGCTGCATATCATCGTGCAGCGACTCGTTAGGCAACAGGGGCGGCGCTGGCGCTCCTGGCTTCGCATACAATTTCTCCAGCTCCGATGGGGGATGATTATAATCAGCACCGTTGACAACGCAGCGACGAAAGATCATTTTGTTTTCGGTCAATGTGCCGGTCTTGTCTGAAAAAATGTGCTGTATTTGGCCCAGTTCCTCAGTGATGTTCATCGCCCTGCATTCCGTCTGCTTGTTGGTGTCCGCATCGTACAGATCGATGTTGTTGTGTATGTGGTACACCTGCAGTATCTTGCACAGCTCAATGGTCACGTAGAGGGAGAGCGGTATCATCACTTGCAGTATTATAATATATGTCCAGAATGTGAGCATGCCCTCTAAGGCAGCATTAACGTCAAATGGCAAATAGGGCACGGGGAAGTTAACAAAGGAGCCCAGCCACATTGTGCAGCCGATGGCGCCAACAACGCAAAGGATCAACAATATTATCACACACCTGCAACAGCAAAGTGTAAGCAAAATAAACGCATATTTAATGAATAAGTTCAATTTCTAATAAGTTCATATTTCTTATGCCACATTACTCTATACACGAAACTTATACAATTCTGCTAATTTACGAAGAGATAGAAATGAGAGCTTAATAAAGGAGCAAAGAGATCTCAACAATCTCAAAGAATACCACTTTCAATTAAAAGCAATTAGTATGGATGACGAGCCGTTATAGATTATTGTCATAGTTAGTCTGTCACATGTGTGCTATTTAATTTTTGGTAACGTGCAGATAGATAAGAATGTTTATTTTCATATTCTTTTCAATAGATAATAGTAAACTATATTCTAGAGATATTTAATCAGTGCAGTCCGATTAAGTGCAGTTATATTTAGACTCTTTCCCGACGGGGAAAAACACATATATATATATCAGATATACACATATTAAATCTAATTTTTGACACTTGAAAGATTATACAATTTGTATTGCTTCCTTGTGGAGAGTACCATAATTTGTTGTTTGCAACAACGCCTTGAAGGAGGCGTTTCCGACCCTATAAAGTATATATATTCTAGTGTCTTAACATATATTCTTTCTGATACATAAGCACTATACAAATTTGAAATATTCAGTTAATAACCCGAAAACAATTTGTAATCTTTGGTATCTGGCTAAGATAACCGTTCTTTCTGCTATTGTTCAATTGATGTGTGTGTGTATTTTTTAGCCGCTGCTACATACCATATCACATCAATATTCATTTGCTGTTCCACCTGGGAGCGTTTGTACCTTGGACCACTATTATTTAGCATGGACTTCGTTTCATGTCCGGCATAGACAACAATGCCCTCAATGTAGTCCGTATTCTACAAGAAAACAGAAGTGCTCGAGTCAAACTTCATATCGTATGTGGGTATTTTGGTATTTAGGTTTTTACCTTCAGTCTGCTCTCTCTTAACAAAAGGCACTCGGTCGAAATGGGTACACGCTCCCCAGTTGGATGTATTAAGGCCCCATGGAATCTATACAGCTTTGTTGTTGGCGCATCTGCTTCGACGAAGCTCGTAAACTTGCTGGGTACAAATATGTTCTGCATTTCGGTGAAGCCACGTACAACCTGCAAATGAAATATTAACAATGAAATCACACATCGCTCACGTATTCCCATGATAACCGTCAGCTGTCTTTGCCAGCACACATATGTTTCCACATACCTCGCGACGCTTCAGATTTGTTTCGCCATCCAAGTCACAGGTGTCAATGTAGCAGACTCCGTGGGGATCGCTGGTCCGCAGCAAGAGGATATCCGCTGGCACCGTCTCGTTGTTGGACAAATGGACAATGTCACCGACACGCAAATCTTGCCATTTTGTTTTCTTATAGCGCTCCGTCTCACTGCCGGTAGAATAAAAAATCGGATTACGGGTTATTAAATTGGCAGAACTCAAAGCGTTAGAATAAATCAAGTTTCTAACTTAAAATGTTACCAAAACCATTTACTATATTTCTTCACTCTAATCAATATAGCTAAATTTATCATATTATTTATTATTTATCTTCTGTCTAATCAATATAGCTAAAATTAATTAAAATAAAGCCTGAAGCTTACTTTTAAGCTGTAAATGACCTTTAAATAGAAAATAATGTCATGTAAAAAAAGAAAACTATTTTTAAAATAGCTCAAAATAATGAATAAGCTTAGCAATAATTAAATATGTTTGTATGACATACATAATAAATGTAAATATGTATGAAAATTGATAAAAAAAAATATTGATTCTGGATGAGTTCATTATATTTCAAAGAGTTTAATTATAATTTAGCACGACTAGCTAACAAATTTATGAATTTTCAGTTAAGTCAGAGCGAACATCAGCATTCAGTAGCAGTTTAGATGTATAAATCAATAGATTACTGCTACAGACAAGCATATAATAACAAAAAAAAAAAAGACATTCATCATCATTGCGAAGAGTTAAATATTATCGCTAAATATTTTTCATTTACAAAATTAGCGTTGATAAGTGACGCAATTCCATAAAACATTTGGTGCTAGACAGCACACGGCTATAAATGAGAAACATGCAAGATTGGGAATCGAACCAATTACTCGAAAATGTCAAATAATTTATGACGTACGAGGAGAGCTTGTGTTGGATTGGAGACACCGTTCATAATGTCGAATTCGTTGGAGAGTCCATAATAATTCAGCAGTCAACTGAGCGTATTGTCATAGTTTCAAGCAGGACAATTTGCATGCTATACCAACTAGAATAAATATGACAGAAGGAAGAAGTCTGGTTTATAAATTGAACGCTTTCCAGCGGAGTGATAGACACTTGTGCAAACAGACTCAAGGTGAGCCCCATTAGAGCTGGCCGGAACTGAACTGAACTGAAGTAGTTAGCAAAGTAATAACACAATTGGTGAATTAGTGCGCCAACCGCAACGCCAACGTTGATGGCCAAGGACAACGGATCGGCCGCGCTGCCTGTCTGCTGACATTGGGCCTGGCCCAAAAGCTTTCGGATGGCGTCATGCTGTCATTTTTGTTGCCGCTGCTGCTTAGATATTTATGAAAGAATCCACAGTGGGACGACATGGGTCATTTTCTGTTTTCATTTTCACTTTCCCGTACTTTCTCGCTCACTGCGCAAAAAAAAAGGGACAACAAAAACAAAATGTAATTGTCTGGGCTGACGAGGGTTTGCGTGTTAAGGCCAGCTCCGATCGCATCCAGACTGCCTGCCTGTCTGCCTCATGTTGGGCTTTTGCATTGTTCGTGTCAGACATGTCCTTGCATTGCCTGATTTCAGATGCCCAACCTTAAATTTCCGCTAACGTTAAAAGGTGGATATGCGTCCGATTCTCGGAGTGAAAGTCTTTTGCTATCATTTTAATTGGGTCATTAGCGAGATTGCATATTCTAACACAATTTACATGAGGCACTCCAACCACAACAACAACAAATAAACAAACAAACAAACTCTAATTACATGAAGCCAGCATATTTGTGTTTCTGTTTACTGTTGTTTATTTGTCGTCGAGTTGCCTGGTTGCAATTCTCTAATTGACATTTGGATGGAAGTGACGTAACATTATTTTCGTTTTAAGAGTTATCATGTTTGTCAGCCGATTGATTTTATTTGGCAATGACATGGAGTCCGCGTTGAGGACCTACCCGATAAGATATTGTATTGTGCTTAGTTTCCGAAGAATTCTACTATTTCTTTCATAAAGATCAACGACAACACTTTGATAAGCATATTTATTGTTCAAGTTGATAACCACGTAACTGATTGCAGCAGAGCAGCAAGCATACACTGAATGAATGAGGTAGTTCCTCCAATAATAATAAAATTTAAGCTCAATCAAACAATACCGAAAGTCGACAAAAATTGAAATGTGAATCACATAATTCAGTAATCATTATTCTAAGTAAAATAATTCGACATCTAAGCAGACGGATCTGCAGTTCTTTAAAGCTTAAGAGTCACATCATATGACTCAGAATATCATTTCATTGATTCAGTGCAAATTGTCCGTTGCATTGATAAAAAGCTGAACTGTTATCTAGAATAAATAAAACTGAAGTTCGTAATATCCACTGCAAAATGTATTGTACATTTGTCAGATTCAAATGGGCGTTAACCTTTATAGTGTATAACGATATGTCTAATCGAATTTATTATTTGCAATTTGTTCTTCACAGAAAAGACTCTAAAATATTTTATAACACCAATAATAATGTTTATAAAATTTATAATTGTGCTCTTAAAAGATAAAGAAATGTTGTTGACACTATAAAAATTAATATTAATAAACTTGTCGTATGCCTAAAAATAGGTACGTAAAATAAAAAGTAACCATTAGAATATCGAATTATAATTAATAAAAGAAGGTTCTTAAGCAGTATACAAAAGATTGTTTTACTGTTCGCTTAACATTTTGGGGTATTTCCATCTTTGCATACTCCAACAAATAACTTTCCTTTCAGCTCAGATTTTTTGTGAATGTTTTTTTTTTTTGTTTTTGTGAATCACTCAAACTTCAATTAACATATCCCGCATGAGTGTTTCACTTTCACATCAGATTCAGGTTATTCACTCAGCTGTTATGGACCTTGAATTCGGGGCTAGGGTTTGCTGGGGTTTGGCACGAAGGTGACAACTAACTAACTAAAGAGGGGCTGGCTGTTTAGCGGCTTTTGTTATAAACAATTAAAGCGCGTGACAAACAGTTCAACAAGTCTTAAGACGTTTAACAAAACTATTCACTAAGTAGGAGTAGAAAACCTCTACACACATACATACTCTGGTCTCTGGTCTGCCAAAATTTCTATTGCGTTTATTGCATGTCATCTAATTGGCTTAAAGGTGCCGCTTGACACCAAGTTTGTTGAATGTTGAATCGCTGATGAGCTGGCGATGGCAGGCAAATTACCCGCACTGGGGCACTGCCTCGATTTACTGGGAACTTAACTCGATGATGAGCCACGCTGATTGCTGTTTGTATAATTTGCAGAACAAACGCTAACTTGACTGCAAATCGAAACGCACGCAAGGCGCCCTCGGCCCCCTTCCACTTGGCCACTCTCCTACTAACTTCTAACTTGTTATCTAGGCCCAAAGTGAATGTAGGCCGCGTGAACAGCAGCACAAGACTTTTCATTATTATTTATAATGGTTGCCAGAGTGACTGGCAAGCTGTCTTCGTTGATAAGACCTTTCCTGCAACTGAATTTCATTTTGAACGCTTGTTTAGTTTTGCCTTGTTTGTAACGCATTTCATTCAAATGGTGGCATGATGGCTACGAGCCACGTGTTGGTTGCATCAATCTATTTCATCGACGTGGACACGCCCATTTGTCGGCGGTCGTTATTAATAATAAGCATAATAATATGTTATGTATCCAAGACCAAAAATAACTTTATGAAAATTACACACTGCGATCAGTTAGTTATTTGAGCCGCAGTTTCAAATGTGAATGAATTTAAAGTTTGATTTCAATTTGATTGAAGCTGGTATTAAAACAAGTTTTAAAGTTTCTTAACAACTGGCTTAAAATAAATTAAGCGCACCGAAAAGGAATGACGAAAATCAATAGAATTTGTTGCGTTAATTGGTTTGTATTTATTTAATTTAATTTGCTCGACCAAATAAAGCATTGTAAATGTTTTTTGTTTTCGCAAACAACAAGTAGGAATGCCTTGGTCGAGAGTGCTTGACTTGAAGCTGATGTAACCAGTGTTTAAGTGCCCATTCTCAAGAATACACAATACAAATGCTTTTATATTTGTTCTACATTTTTTGAGCAGCAGTAAACATTTCAACTCTGGCTTATACACCTCATTAAACTATACAGAACTATTACAAATCTTTGCTGAACCAGGAAACTCATCGCCTATTACACATCATAAGGCCAGATAATAAAAAATATAGTACACAAAGTTTAAAAAGTATGTGTTTATATATAAACTAACTATATATATATATATATGTATATATAGTATATTTGTAAACGTAACCTGGAAACTCATATTTGTATATAAAAATGGACTTTATCTTATCGCCTTTTACACACCATATAAATATAGTTTCTTATTAAAGTGTGCAAATAAAAGTATTTTATTTTATACAAAAAACAAGTCTCTTTTTACACCTGGTTCTCTCGACTATATCTACTTTTTTTTTGCATTCATTTGAAAAACTTTTTTCTATACAATGCTTATAAAGTAAGTTTTGATTTCCTATTAATGGTGATTGATTAATGCTGTGCTTCAACTTATTCAATTAAATGTTTAGGCCAAAGAAAATGCATACCAGAACTAAAGCTAAAACGTTGTGGAAACTGCTGAGCGTCACGCAGACCGTCCACATAATTGTGGACTCAGTGTTTGGACATGTTGCTCCCACTTCGCATAAAACTGTTTGTGTATTTGGGCCAAAGTGGGTCATGGGGGAGTTGTTATTGCTACGTTTGTTTCGAGCTGCGAGGACGCCATGGAAATGCACGCAGGCAATTTACTTAAAGTTCATTCGACATGGTCAGAAGTAAGCACATGCGCATGCCTCATTGCACGAGTCAATAAAACAGTCTTTAGTAAGGCGGTACACACTCACACACAAGCACACACACACACACATAAATATATGCTCCATCATTAAAGGCACCCCAAGTAGATGTATCGACTGATTGTGCCTAGGACCTGGGCCTAAACTCCTTGGCTAGCCAGGTGACCAACCCAATTTCTACTGGGTATTAAAGCATTTAATAGGAAACGATATCAAGCCAAGTCCAGATGTAATCAGCAGATAGCGATGGTAAACCAAAGCTACGCGGACAAGTTGTTAGATTGTCGTGGCAATAGACCAAGTTTATTAGTTGGTTCTGT